ACTGAGAAGGGGAAGATGGTGAAAGGAACAGGTTTTAAGGAGTGGGTCTGAAGGTCTTATTTGCAAATGAACCACATGTTCCCATAGCCAGGTGCACACTTTGACTCTTCCACAGAGGAAGCCTAAGCCCCAGGCTGGTGGATGTCCGTGGTGGGGAGTGCCAAACGGATGTAAAAAAAAAGGGTTAATGGCTTCCCACTACCCCTACAAGAAACCCTCAAACAATTGGCCTTTCGAGGTGCATAGTTGCCAGCCAAGTTATTCAGCTCAGCAACAAGATTGAAGAGAAAGTGGTCAGAAGACCTTGATACCAGGCTTGGTAGGAAGCAGTCACTTTCTGCTAAAAGGTCAGTGATGAGGGAAGGCATATCCATGCAGAGTCACTGCAGAAATCTTTGAAAATTCAGAAAATTACAATCCCATTACATGCTGAACATGCCTGACATCACCATGTATTTTCCCCCAATCTTCATTACATACATTTTCCTATAAGCAGTGGCACTCTTCTCCATAATGTGTTTTGTCAATTTCCCTTTCTCACTAAACAGTATCATGCATGTTTCTAAGTTGCTTTCCAGAGAGGCTGCACTGATCTACTCAACTACAATCAGTGTATTAGAATGCTTCTCTCCTGACAATCTTGTTCACAGTGAGTGTTAGCAGAAGAATGCTTGGACAGTTTTATAAGTGAGAAATAGTAATTCATTATTATTTTCATTTGCAGGTTAAAAAAATTTCTGGAGACCCTGAACACTTCTTGAATGCTTGTTAGTTATATATTTTTTTTCAAGTGACTTTTGCAAAGATACTTCTAGGCTTGGAAGGAACCAGAATCACCAACATTTAGCGAAATCTCACTTCCTTAACCTCAAGAAGTAGCATCTCTCCCCTCAAAAACCAATCATGTGTATGAGGAGGCAGGGGTGGCAAAGCAGAGAGAAGTGCTTTGATGGAAAGTTCGCACTCAATTGCTGGGTGACAAAGGCTCACACCCCAGCCTCTGGTCCGCCTTCTTGAGAAAAAGGCTAAAAACTATAAGCAAATCAGTGCTAACTGTAGCTCGTGGGTGCCTGCTCTGCGGCTCTCTTGGATTTCCGCCCTAATCTGATCTGCCAGCTGGGTTTGGATATGCAGAGAGGCAATCTGACTTGGTGAGTCAGAAGGCACATCCCTCTGACTCTGTGGGAGGACAGAGAGCCTACGGCCCTATCTGCTCCTTCAGGTAGGGTCTCCGCCTGGTTTGGCTGTGTCTTAGAGTATAATTTGGCACCTGGCACACAGTAGGTTCTTAGTACATATTTGCTCCATGACTGAATGATCAGGATCTTGAAGGGATAACTGGGAGAGAGGAGATGCTGTTCTCTCTGTTCTCACTTCTCTTCTCAGCTGTGTCACTAAACAGCAAGTTACTTTCTCTCACAGGCCTCTATTTCCTCGTTTTAAGCAATGAATCCAAATGACAGCAAGATTCCTTCTAACTTCTGAATTTGTGTAAAAACATTTAGCCCATCTTTGCTTTAGTTTCCTCATCTATGAAATAGGCAGGATGAAAATGTCAACCTCCTGTGAGGCTACCAGATAAAATATAGGGTGCACAGTTAAATTTGAATATCAGATAAACAAGAAACACATTTAAAAAAATATAAATATGTCCCCAATATTGCACAGGCTCGATAAATACCTGGAATGCTGAATCGCTGTACAACGTTCAGCCGGATCTGTTTATTGCATTCAGAGTTATGCTTCCAGGCTGATGATGAGTACATGGTGTTCAGTCGACAAATGTTTATTAAACATCTACTATACGCCAGGCGCTGTTGAGGCTCTGGTGGTACAGCAGGCAATGAAATAAGCAATATCTCCATTTTCACTAGGCTTAAATTACAGTTAACAAAAAAAGTACACAAAATGTCACAGAGTCATCATGCTCAGAATGTTAGCAAAGCAGGCTAAGGGCCAGAGACCATGCAGAGGGCTGAGAGAGGGAGTCAAGGAACCTGAGGAACTCAACTCTGTGCACCTGAGAGGCCCCAGCCTCCACAAAGACCTATGTTTGTACAGCAAGACTCTGATATTATTTTGTAGAAATCCCCAAAGATGCATAAAAATGTCATTGATTCAGAAAGGTCATGCACCAAATTTGAGATAAAATGAGCAATTGCTTGGATGGAAGAGATATATAAATCATTTAGCCAATTTTAGCTGAGCTAGGGCTGCCACCAAGTTTCCTGACAGCTAGGAGAAAGTTCTGGGAGGTAATGTGGCTTGTTAAAAAGGTGATTCTGATTTTCAGTTCTGTTTACCAGTGTGGTTGGGTTAAGTCTTGACAACTTTTTTAAAAACTGTGTTTTGAAGTTTTAGCTGAAACAACAGTGAAGGGTTTTTCTTTGAGACATCTTTTCCTGCACTGAGCCAGTGCTCTTTGATTCAAGGATTCGCTGGGGCCTACTAAGTTAATGGCTGTAGAAAGGTTACCTTTCTTTTTTTTCCTCTCTTTTCTTTCTTTCTTTCCCCCTTTCTTTTCTTTCTTTCTTTCTTCCTTTCCTTTCTTTTTTTTTTGAGATGGAGTCTCACCCTGTCACCCAGGCTGGAGTGCAGTGGTGCAATCTTGGCTCACTGCAACCTTGCAACCTCCATTTCCTGAGTTCAAGCAATTCTGCCTTGGCCTCCTGAGTAGCTGGCATTACAGGTGCTCGCCACCATGCCTGGCTAATTTTTGTATTTTTGGTAGAGATGGGGTTTCACCATGTTGGCCAGGCTGGTCTCGAACTCCTGACCTCAGAATCTGCCTGCCTCGGCTTCCCAAAGTGCTGGGATTACAGGCGTGAACCACTGCGCCCAGCCGAGGTCACCTTTTTTATACCCCTGGTAGCCCAGAGAAATCTCAGCATTATTGTTATCACTACCTTTATAATGGCATTAGGCCTCTAAGTTGCTTCTACCCTAGACTATTCTGTGTGCTCGCCTCTGTTTCATTTTACAAATTAGACTTCTATTTGGTTTAATATAGAGTTTTTTTTTTTTTTTGTCTGCTATGAGAATTGGATATGTGAAACTCATTAACATTTCTCAAGTAAAACTAGAGAAAACAGTTTGTGGAGTTTCTCTTTTATCATTTTCAACTCATAGTGGTTAGGTTCTTAGAAATAGCCATGATTCTTGGTTTATAAAAGAAGATAATCACAGATACCTGGGGAAATTTAGTTTTGGTGGAGGAGAGGCAGTTCTGTGAAAGTCTACAGCAGAAAGTATTCATGAGCCTTTTTTTTTTGAGACAGGATCTCATCCCATCGCCCAGGCTGGGCATAGTTGTGTGATCATGGCTCACTGTAGCCTCAATCTCCCAGGCTCAAGTAATCCTCCCACCTCACCTTCTGAGTAGCTGGGACTACAGGCACATGCCAGTGTGCCCAGCTAATTTTTGTTTGTTTTTTGTGGAGATGGGGTTTCACCATGTTGGCCAGTCTGGGCTCAAACTCCTGGACTCAAGCAATCTACCTGCCTTGGCCTCCCAAAGTGCTGGGATTATAGGCGTGTGCCACCGTGCCTGGCCCCATGAACTTTTTCCATCCGAGAAGTTCTCAGTCACATTGCTGGCTTCTCCTCAAATGCTGTCGTCTGAGGAATAATTGCCTCTCTGAATCCCCCCCGACACAATTCCCACACAAACTGTATATTTGAACATCTGGGCCCTGGGAGCTCTGTGAGAACGTTGTTGGACACTGGAGTCGGGAGGGATGAGGGACCAACCTCTCCCCAGATGACTAGGGCTTCTCTGAGTCTGAGCCAGACACCAGATGAAGGAACAGCTCACCCATGACGAGAGCACACATGTTCACAGGCAGTGGGGATGTGTTTACTCACTGACGCTTTCATCAGGTCACCCTCCCCAAGATAATAAGCTGAGGTACTCGACCAAGTTCTGCCTTTGAAAAGCTTGGAATCCCTGAAGGGCATGGTGCCAGGGTGGGCACCCAAATAGACAATGCAGAAAGCCAAGCACAGACGTTCTAGCTGGAACCAGGAGGGAAGCCTCCAGGACCTGGCTCCAGTAAAACTCAGAACTGCGTCCAGGGTGAGCATGGACCATCTCCCCAGTGGCAGCCACCAGGGCGGCTGAGATAGCTGAGTTAAGGTAGTTGTCATTCATGTGGCTCCTTTGATCTGAGGTTGGTAAACCTTGTTTCCATACCCAGTCACAAACAGCTGCCGCCTGCTTTCTACCTGGAAACTCCAGGGATTAGGGGAGAACTAACATGAGTCAGTCGGTAAAGTGCTTCCAGATTTTTAAGTGCGCCCACTGTGAACTTAGATCAGTGCTTCAAGCTGCAGACTTTTGAAGGCAGGATGATCTGTCCTGAAGGGCCCCAGAGGCCACTGGGCCCAACCTTCTTATGTGGATGGGAGGATGAAATCAAGTCTCCAGGGAGGGATGGGGCTTGCCCAGTGTTCCATGGCATTCTCCGGCAGAGCAAGAATCAGCACTGTGTCCTGGCTTCTGGTTCTGAACTTTCTCCTCCACCCAAGAGTCTTACTCTGATGGGGCAGTGGCAGGTCATCTGTTTAACACAGTTATGCTTTTGGCCGTCTTGGGGAAGGGCCTTCTTGTCACAGGTTTCACTGGCTGCCCTTGGGAAGATTGCCTTCAAATAAGATGCAGTCATGGTCCCTTGCCTGGAGCTGCCTCTGTCTTTACACCCGTGCCACCTTTCGAGACCCAGAGGAGCGCTAGACCAGGATGCCTTCTTGGACTCGCTGATCTTCTTTGCCCCCAGTACCTGTGCTCTGTGCCACACCCTCACTTTGTTCTCTCTCCAGCCGTTACCTGCTCCTATAGCCCACTCTTTCTTACTGAATTGCAAGCTCTGAGAGGTAAGAAATACCTTTCCACCTTCTCACTCATTTAAGTACCTAGCATGGAGGTGGGCAAAGAGTTGGCGCACAATGAATGCTGAAGAGCATGCATGCCTGAGTGACTCTTTCTCATTCTTCTTTGACAGATTCGGAGCCTAGTACCTTGGACTCCCAGTCTTCGACCACCTTGTTCCTCTCCTCAGAAGAGCAGGGCCCCTCCACCGCCGCCCTGCCGTCTCCCTCCTCCTCCTCCTGCGAGCCCCAGGCCTTTTCCCCGGGCCCACCAGTGCTGCCTGCGCTGCTGCCCCCGCTCCCCGCAGCCTCGGCGCCTCCCGGCCCCGGCACCTCCCGGCGCGCAGGCCTCTACTCAGTCGTCGCCTCCTCCCCAGAGGCCGCTCCGCGCCTGGTGGACTGGCTGCCCGGCTGCCTCTCGACCACCTCTCCCGCCACACGCGGGGATGACAGGGAGCGACCGCCGCCCGTCCTGGCACCGGCCCAGGGCCTGGGAAGGAGCTGCGCCCCGCGCCCCGGAGCCGCGGGCAGGGAGGAGGGCACCGTGGACGCGGGTTCATCCCCGCCGCCCCGCGCCCGGCCCGCCGCTGCGGCGAGCTTGGAGGCCAACGTCGGGGACATCCTGGTGGAGCTGCGGACCATGAACGGCCACCTGGGCGTCATAGCGCGGGCCCTCACCAAACTGGCCTCGTCCCTGGGGCCCCAGCCTGAGCCCCTGCCAGATGCTCCTGATGCCAACTGATGGAGCTCGGCGAGGCGGGGCCGCCGGGCACCAAGGGATCGGTGCACCAAGCATCCCTGCCTGTCCTTCCCCAGCAGCGAAGCGCGCGGGGAGGAGCCCAGCGGAACGCAGGGCCTCGCGCTTCAGGGTGAAGCAGACCGGGGTGCGCCTCCCACCCTCCTCCTCGGCTCTCCCACGGCGGCACCTGCCCGGCTTCCTGGCCCTTCACATGCCCTTCTCTCGTCTTGAGCTTCTGGCAGAAAAAGTGCCTGGAGACGGCGGTGGGGCCCCGAGAAAGATGCTTAGAGAAACGCTCTTTCACATCCCGCTCCTGCGACGTCCGCGTGGCGTGGAGGGAGCGGAGCTCAGACCGTGACATCAAAGCAGCAGCGAGGCCAGCTCCAGCCTTCCTCCCTGGCGGCGTTGGTGGGGCATCCATCTCTGGTGACGTTCACAAGTGTGTTTGTTTGTTTGTTTGTTTAAATCGTTTTTGGAAAAAAATATTTTTTTCTCATAGCCACATTTCAAGAAGTTTGGAAAACAGAGAAGTGAAACAAAATCTGGTTTATTTGGGGAAAGGGGGGTATTTAAGTCTTTCTTATGAATAAGAAAGTATTTTGTGTAATAAAAAAAAAATTTATATCCACTTTCTGGACGTTGGGCTCTCCCTGTCGCATTTCTTCCTTTGCACGGCCCCCTTCTCCCTGAGCTTAGTTGCTTTTCCCAGCCCTCCTGTAGTCTCTGAGTTGTTGTTGAACTTTTCTCATACTTGTGAAGTATACGCTTCTTTTTAAATTTAATACACTTTATCTTTTGTTAAAAGAGACAGAGTCTTACTCTGTTGCCCAGGCTGGAGTGGAGAGGTGCAATCTCAGATCACTGCAGCCTCTACCTCCGAGGCTCAAGTGATCCTCCCACTACAGCCTCCCAAGTAGCTGGGACTACAGGCATGAGCCACTGCACGTGACAACAATTAGCTTTTAATGGTTCTTCTGATTCTTTCCATAATTCCCAGATCTCCATAAAGTTGACAAACCCCCTTCCCCTCTTTGGATTGGGTGGAAACCGAGTTCCAGAGTGACGGGGCAATAAATATGAAGGAAGCCAACATCCCCAGCCTCCACACACTGCCAGAATGACCAGTTTCCACAGCTGAGACAATCAAAGAATGTCTCCAGACATTGCCACTGTCCCCTGGTTGAGATCCACTAACCTATGTAGAATCTCAAAAATTTGGGATGACCCACACTCTCCAGGATCTGGCTTCCCATGGTGAGGCAGGGCACTCCTCCTCTTCCTATTAGAATTTTAATAAAGTGTGCTTCTTTGCTAGAAGCAAACATGCTATGCTGCTCTTTCTTCAGAAACAAATGAAAAGGCCAGGCATGGTGGCTCATGCCTATAATCCCAGTACTTTGGGAGGCCAAGGCAGGTGGATCACTTGAGGTCAGGAGTTCAAGACCAGCCTGACTAACATGGTGAAACCTCATCTCTACTAAAAATAAAAAAATTAGCTGGGCATCATGGTGCATGCCTATAATCCTAGCTACTTGAGAGGCTGAGGCAGGAGAATCACTTGAACTCAGGAGATGGAGGTTGCAGTGAGCTGAGATCACGGCATTGCACTCCAGCCTGGGCAACAAGAGTGAAACTCTGTCTTAAGAAAGAAAGAAAGGAAGGAAGGAAGAGGGAAAGAAAGAAAGAAAAAGAAGGAAAGAGAAAGAAAGAAAGAAAGAAAGAAAGAAAGAGAGAGAGAGAAAGAAAGAAAGAAAAGGAAAGAAAAGAAAAGAAAAGGAAAGAAAGAAAAGAAAAGAAAGAATCTGAGACCACATTTGAGGCCACATTGGACAGAATAAAATCCCTTCTGGGAGCACTTGCAGGGCTCACAGCTGGTGTTCTGGGGCAGGTAGCAGCCTAGTCTGAAGTTCCTGCACCTCTAGTGCCTCACAGACTTTATATGCAGGAACTACCTGGAGAGCTAGTGAAAATGCAGATTTTGATTCAGAAGCTCTGGAGTGGGGCCTGAGACTCAGCATTTCTAGACAGCTCCAAGGAAATGTTGATGCCACTGGTCCAAGACACACTTTGAGTAGCAAGTAAGTAAGGAGGGGTTGTCTGCTCTGGGATTCCTGCTGGTTTGAGTTGCCACTGTGCCCCAGGAGCTTCTGCTTGTCTTTGTACCCCACAGTGCTTAGATTCCTCAACTCTCACCAAAACTTTGGGGATTTTCTTTTTTTAAGGCAGAGTATGTTAGCTCTAGCCTCCCACTTCTAAAAATGTTTCAGTGAAGTTCAATCCAATTCAACAAACATTTATTGAGTGCTACAATGCTGGTGACTGAGGACACAAAATGAATAGGATAAGGTCTCTGCCCTCCAGGGGATCCCAGCCTGGCTCTCACACAGAGGGGGTTTCTCAACAGTTCCAGTGTGTAAGCAATTTGAAGGGGGTGGAGAGAGGCAGCAAGGTGTGGTGAAATTAGTATTTGAAGGGAGGCCAGGCTTCCTGTGGTTTGACTTTGGGAGTGTTCTTTAATCCCTGTGAGCCTCAGTCTACTGATCTGAATCAAATGGAGATAACACCGCTGTACCGCAGCCAATCAAAATCAGACATGGATGTGATGGGGCTTGGCATTCTGGAAAGTGCTGTCCAAATGTCCTTTTATGGTTATCGAGTTATCATTACTTCCTCTCTCCTGAGTCCTGTACCATGAGGGGGCAACTCTGGTAGCGTGAGAGTCAGACTCTGGTCTGAGCTGAGCTTCCCCCTTCTTTTCTTCAGGAGGAAAATTGATGGCCCAAAGTGACTGTCCCGCTCTGTGATCTGCTCTTTAGCTGAAGAAACAGCAAAACTGGATCAACTGCGGCAACTGGGAGCATCAAGTTTTTATTCATTTGTTGATTTGAATGGTCTTTCATTCTGATTTTAACTGATTTCTTTTGCATTAGGAAACAATGAAAGACCAAAATCTTTTGAGAACAAAGAGGAGCTCACCTATAAATCCTAAATACAGATGCAGTGATTGAAATCTTTGGCCAGAAACCATCTAGGTAACTTATGAATGTAAAACACACCCTAAGTTTCATCTACTCCTAAGGGAGAACCACTGTCAATATTTTGGCAACTACTCTTTGAAACATTCGTGTCTATATACAAATACCTATGCGTGTGCAATTTTACTTAACTGTGATCATAGTATGCCCACTGTTATGTAACCTGTTTTTTAAATCTTGATAATAGATGATAGAAATATTTTCATTTAAAAAGCAATGTTATATATGAAGCAAAATTTAGTTAACCAATTTTCTATTTATGCTTCCGATTTTTCACCATTATATGCAATGCTGTAACAAATCTGAGTATACATCTTTTTGCTCTTCTGTTGAAGAGCATGTTGTACAAGTAAATTCCTAGAGGTATGATTGCTGGGTCCAAGGGCATACACTCTAACTTCTTTTTTCAGTACTGCTATGGCTTCACCAAGGTTCAAAAAAGGGAAGTGAATGAATGATAGGAGGAACACTGGGGTCTCGGAGTGGCTCCATTTAAAAAACTGGGAAAAAGGGAAATAAAACAAAGCTATCTTTTGAAGATTAAACTTTAAAATCAGCACACAGCAGGCCAGAACAGAGATGTGTAAAATCACGCTGCAGAGATGAATCGTGGTCACTCAAGTGATGAATGGGTCCAGTCAGGAAACAGAAGCCCTCCTCAGTTTTCACACTGAGGGGATCTAATTGAGGAATCAGCAGCTGGGTGATGGAAGGCATGGAGGAGCAGTGGAGTAAGGTAAGGTTATCTGAAGACTAGCGGCTGCAGGAAAGTGTGATCAGCTGTGGGATGGAGGAGCCAAGGGGGAATGTCTCCTCGGAACCCAGAATCGGTGTGATTCCAAGCCACGGCTATAGAACTGGGCTGCTTCAACAGGAAGCCAAGAGCAGCACTTGCTAAGCCAAAGCCCCTGCCACTGCATCCACTGCCACTGTCACCCTTGAGTGTCAACAGCACTGTCACAACTGCCGGGGACCCCACCAGAGACCAGCAGGGAGGAATCAGCCAGTCTTCTGGCAGTGCCTCCTCTTCACAGAACCTAACTGAAAGCCCGTTGGAGAGCGTCTGGGAAATGCAGCGTGTGGAGGCTCACCCTGCTGTGCCAGAGCAGAGCAAAGAAGGCTGGGAACGCAGCTGACAGCAAGTAGGCAAATGATCAGCACGAGTAGTGCTGTGGATCAAAGCAGTGGGATAGCTAAAGGGAGCAACTGTCAGTCAGAGAAGCGGCCTTGCAGCCATGGAGGCCCCAAAGATGGGGCACTACAGAGTGACATGGGCAGTGCTCATGCCAGCAGAGGCAGGCTTGGCTCTCTGGACCTAGCCACAGGTAGAACCTTGTGGTGACCGCTACCTCCTGGCTCTCAGGCTATGTCACTAGAGCATGCTATGGGAGACTGGCCCAGAGAAGTGGCTCTGCTGTAGAGCCCAGACAGATGGGGTTTCTGAACCTTCTTGGTGGGCTGCTAGGCTCTGGGCAAGGGCAGGCTAACCAGTGTGCATTGCCACTCTGGGAGACAGGAAGGCAGCCTGCCCATAGGCAGATAAGTCTTAGTCTTTTTGTGCTGCTGTAACAAAATACCTGAGACTGGTCAATTTATAAACAACAGAAATGTATTTCCTCACAGTTCTGGGGACTGGGAAGATTGAGGAACCTGCACGCTCAGTGTCTGGTAAGGACTTGGTCTGTGCTTCCAAGATGGCATCCCTTGTTGCGTCCTCACATGGTGGAAGGTGGAAGGGCACAAACGAAAAAGATCTTGTCAGTTCCCTCTAGCCCTTTTTAAGGGCAGAGCCTTCATGGCTTAATCACTTCCCAGAGGGCCCCTCCTATTAATACTGTCACATGGACTCTTAGGTTCCAACATACGGATTTTGGAGGGACATAGACATTCAACCATAGCCACATACCTCCGAGGGACTGGCCCTCGGCCATCTTCCTTTACCAGAAGGACATCTGCACAAGTATTTATTGGGTCCCTTTCAGGTCCTGTGTTATGTACTCTACATACAGGATCTCACTTAATCCTTGCAGTAATCCTGTATGCAAGGTTGGGAGATAGGGCCTATCATTCCCATTTCACTGATCAGGAAACTGAGGCATGAAAAGGTCAAGTGGCTTGCCCATGGTCACCCAGCTGGTTCCGAACAGACTGGATCTGTTTGTCTCCAGGGCCCTGGTTGTGCCACCCACCTGGAGCTGCCTCTCCCATTAGACTTCCTCTTGGTAGTAGGTCAAAGCCTTGGGACTTTGAGCTGCCTTTGGCTAGTGGTTCTCCCGCTGGCTGGCAGCGAAGTTGCTTTCTGGAAGTAATAGGTCTCTGAAAAATGAGAAAATCCCAGGAAACTGGAGCAGAAAGCTGGAAAACAGGGAACCTTACCAAGACCCTCATCCCTCGCCAGCCACATCAGTGTCAGGTGCGGAGGGATAAAGGAGGCACTGAAAAAGAGGACAAGGTGCAGGAAAGAGGAGGAGAGAAGCCAGTGGGCTGTGTCAACTTGATGGCTCTGAAGCACCAACGGCCCCTAAGCCCTTTAAGGTCAATGTTGTGAATCATGTTCTATGTACAACGTGACTTGGCTGTTACTGTATGTTATCACCTTCCTCTCGCCCCCTCAGACCATCTGACTTCAACAACCAACTCTGCATGAGAACTAGGAAATGCAAGGATTTCTATAGGTCTCCATGGTGACTGCATTAGTATCCCGAGGTCCAAGGGCATTAGCTACCAAATTATTACTAAGTTTCCTACAAAGCAAGGTCCCCCTTTCTCCTTTGCTCAAGCAGGCTGACTCTAACCTTTGCATTCACAGATGAGGCTGGCAGGGTACCCAGTGGGCTCAAACCATTTCCATAAAATACATGTGCACAGCCCCTGCTGAGGGGCACCAGGAACATCTTTCAAGGCTCTCAGCTCCAGCTTCTTCCTTCAAAATGCTCAAGGTACTATTTCTACTGGCCATGTGCTTGCTGGAGGGTGCCAATTCTCCGGCCCTGCCATTCCTTCCAGAGTAGGCACTGTGCCCTGTTTAACCTGTCCCCACAGGGCCCAACACCATCCAGGCGTGTAGCTGGTACCCAATACATGCTGATGGAGGGAGCAGTTCCGGGGCCCATGCTGGCAGTGGTGAGCTTCGTCTCTTACTTCCTGAGGGCCGCCTGGGCCACCTGGATGGAGATGAAGACCTGTCCGCTGGCCAGTCTGGCACTGGCCAGGGAGGGAAGGTCATGATGACCTGTCTCCGCTGCAGCTTCCAGGCCTCGCCTTTGCTTGTTTTCTGGGAGCCTCGGTGTCTGCCCACAATGGCATGGCTCCTTCGAGCTGCCCAGATTCTTGGCCTGGTGCGTGGGCTGCGCGGCTTGTTTCCATGGCGAGCATGGCAGGGGTGGCCGGCACCCACAGGCTGACAAGCATTCCTCCTGGGTCTCCCTGCGTAGAGCTTGAGCCAGCCACTCTTCTCCCAAAGGGGGTTTTCTGATGCGGGGGTTGGTCACCTCAAAATTGGCTGTGCTTTGAGCTAGAGTGAACAAACAGAAGATATTTGTATCCTTTCCTTTCTCTTACAACCTGATTTGTTCCTAAATGGGTTTGGGATACCTAGAGGAAATATCGCATTTGGGAGGGAGCTTGGACATCATCTAGCCTGACCTCCTTCACCCTGTAAATGGATCTCGGATGGGTCGCAAAGGGCAAGTGACTGGCTCAGGGCATAGAACAAATGTAGCACTGAGCTGGGAGGAAGGCTTATGTCTCCTGAAGGCTGTGTTCTTTCTGCCATAGCATGTCTTGGCTCCCTGGAGTGAGTTTCTCCAGTGTTACTTCCACCCCACGAAGATGAGGTGTGGCGCCTTGGGACCGCCTGGAGCTGTCAGGCCACATGCTCATGTACATGCAGGTACACACAGGGGAGTGGATACAAAATTTAAAATAAAAACAATTTTAGTTTGTCTAAACCACGGGTGGGGAGGGGGGAGCGGTCAGCAAACTATGGCCAGTGACTTGCTCTTGTAAACTGAGAATGACTTTTACATTTTTAAGTCATAGTGGAGAAAGAAGATGTGATAGTGACCGTATGTGACCCTCAAAGCCGGAAATATTTACCATGTGACCCTTTGCAGAAAAAGTTTGCCAATCCCTGACCTTGACAACCTGTCAGATCGTTCACCCAGCAGTGGTTGGCAGTTCTTCTAGGACATTGAAGACTCCTTCTTTATGGGTAGAACTGGTCAGGTTCATAGGCTCAGACTCTGAAATGTAGAACTGGCAGCTTTCTTCCTTCATCTGTCAGATGCCTATGGCTTTTCTGAGAAGTTTCTTGCTGTTGCTGAATTTTTCTTTCCTCACGATAAATCATGCAGTGGAACCCTTTGTCAGGTGAATTGGGGAGTCGAGGCTGGTGAGCGACATTTACTGCTGGTACCCATGGGGGCAGGGAGGCAGGGAAACTGCTGCCTGAGGCATCCTGCAGATGACTCGGCTGGGGCTAACCGGAGTTGGGGACTGAGAACAGACAGCTGCCAAGAGTGTGACAAGGAAAATGTCTTTCCAGTCAAAGAAAAACATAAAGATGCTTGCGATCTGAGTATTTCTGTTTCCTCCCCTCCATGGCAGTCTTCTCAAATAGTTCCTGTCTAGCCAGGCCGCTCATTTCTTTACAGTCACTGAACCAGAATAACCACAAATCAAGCCGGAAGCACATGATAACCCGCTGAACTCTGCACGGCCCTGGCTGGGCTTCTCTGAGCGAATCAATGCTGTCCTGGTCTCTGCAGCTGTGAAATATCCAGTAAGCATCCAGCTGCGGGTTAGTTACTTCCACAGTCAGAGAAGGAAAGAGGGAAAAAAGAGTGACAGACGCACAGAGCCACGGACATTTGAGACTGCTATAGCTGTTCACAGTTGTTAAAGATTTACTGGCAAGCAGTTTGGAATTTAAATGCGAGATGACACCGGGGGCCTTTAATGTATGGTGGAGCTTTAAGGATGATATGAGGGCAGAAAATGGTCTGGGAACCCCCCTCTCTGAGATCTTAGAAGTTCTGTTCTATTGACTCCAGGCAGCACAGCAGCCACGGTGCACTTCATGGACTCATAAATATAACATTATTGGACAAAAAAGAAAAAAACGCAATCCTTCTCTGACTGATTAGGCCCAGATTGGTCAGCCCATAAATCAATGCTGAATAAGAACTATAAAGTTGTGAATCAATGTGTCCCAGATCTCCAAACTGGAATGAAAAAGCAGGAATAAAATAGCTGGAGCTCTTCCAAGATCCTTCTTTTCATCCCCGACTCCCACCAGCCCCATACGCTAGTATGCTAATTTTAAAAGGCCTCTTTTCCGCTCCTTGGCCTGGCCGTGGACAGCATTTCAGGGCAGGAAATTTGGTCTAGAAGTGTGGTTGAGGAAACAACAGGCCGTTCTGTTGCCTTTCTGTTCAGGACTGATCAGTAGCTCTGTCGTGTATCCTTGGTCATAGTCATGTATCCTTGGCCTGGGTCTCCACCTGTGGCCAAGAAGTGATGGTATTTGTTGTCTGTGTCACAGAGACAGGAAGGGAACAAGTTGTCCTGAGTGTAACAGGTACATAGTGAGTGGTCAGGCCATGTGTGGTCCATGAATGGTTGTTTAGGTCCAATCAGTTTAAGGGCTCTGAGCCCCTGCATTGAAATACTCAATACAATAGTAGATTCTCTTCTTAG